TGGCACCGTTATTTTTCTCCTCATCAGCCCGGTACTTTTTTATTTTCAAGCGGATACCGTACGCATGTTCTACCGCATAAATTCGCTCGTGCAAATCTGTCGATATCCGCTTCATGTTCTCATACACATCAAACGCACTCAAGGAAATCAAACTATCGTATCGGATATACAAATCTACATTTATCGCGATACATTGGCGTCATTCTGTGATATTCATACAACATGTCTTGGATATGTCGAGTATGCACTTACCCACATTAAATCGCTTGAGAATATTCACCTCGAGTTATTACGCCAATTCCACAGCGATTAAGTTTCTGAAAAAAAACGCTTCTGCTGGGAAATTCGGTATTCGCGAGTCATCGCTTCTGCACCTTACTGGCCAATCCCATTTCTGTAATTAATTTACATCGACACGATTCCGCACATTTTCCATCGTTTTTACCAAACAACAGCAATTATCATTCAATTTATATAAATTTTTTCTCGAAATTCGTTTTTCGCAGTGTCTGAAATTGTGTATTTAATTCGAATAATCCGCGAAGCCAGTGAAAATTTGCGTAAATTGTAATACAGCGATGTATTTTGTAACGAAGCCCCGGTGACGCGTCACTGCTGTAGGTTACGGTAGTGTATCAGTAAACGCTTCTTTATCAATCATAACGTTGGCAAGTAGAGTTTGAAATTCCCGCTTACCGGGGCGGCTTGTCGCGCTCGGACACAAAACGAGTAAGGTCATGTGCGTATCGTGAAAGATATGTCGTTGGGTTATTCCGAGATCGACCTTCGAGGAGTCATAGCCTTAAGGTGAAAATCTACGCGATGGGTATACAATACCTAAAAATTCGACACGTACCGTTACGTGAGACCATCGAAAAATCGGTCAATTAGGGGCAACGGTGAACTAATGCCCTTATCCGTATAAATTAATACAGGCGTCAAAATACATCAAAGTACGACGATGGTTTTCGTATGGATCGTACGTACTCCATGACTTGTTATAAGCGCGAGGATCGTATCTGTTGTAACAATATGAGCTACAGACCACTCGACTGTATACCGCGTTCGAATGAATCATAACCATTCGACTACCGTAATGCAACCGATCACGTGAGTTCTTGTCAATGCTTTAAATGCGATGCCACGTGATATCCGGGGAGAGTATTAGATAATAACGCTGGTCGAGTCCCGTAACTTTCATACACATTTATCGCGAAAAATTTTGAAAATACTTGCTATAACAATACGTCGATTTGGAGATACATGTCGCTAATAATCACCCAGCGTCCGAATGGAGGAACCAGCGTCCCAGACCGTAATTCTGCGTGGCGTGCGCGGTAATCGCCTCTCGATAAGTTTCAACGCGTTCCAAAAAACTGACGGTCAAAACGTTAGTTCGCTCAGCGTTGGTAAAACATCGTATCGTTGCATATCTCCTGTCAATGGATCGATGTATTCTCGTAATTGGAAATAACCTTTTTCGCAGCTTTTAACAAAATGAAATATTGGTCGCTAGGCAGAATAAAATTTATGAAAATTCCGATTTTTAGAAATTTTTGAGTTTTCTTTGTCCAAAATGAATGCCAATTTTCACGTAACTCGACTTGTGGATTGAGTTGTATCAAGATGTAATCTTAACAGTAATTTATTTTTGAATTTTTTGATTCTTCTTTATAAATCAAACAACTTTTTAGTAAATGAAATATATTTTTTCTTAGTTATCGGCAATAACTTCAGATATTTCTCCCTTCGCAACGGCTGTATGGCTGCAATTCCTCGATTAATAATAGAAATCTAAACCGGATAAATTTGTGAAAACTATCGGAATGCAACAAGAATCTTTATATTTAGATTACAATGTGAATGTGCAGGACCTCTGTACCGCCCGGTCAGATGGCAATGATCGCGAACGCGTGTTCGTCTGCGAACGTTTTTTGCATATGTACATTGAGTAACGTGTAAATCTTTCTGTTCTTCGAACGTTAATCTCCATGGGGACATTTGTTTTTAAAATATTTTTTACGCGTAATGCCAAATTTTTAAGATCTTTAACGAACCATGCTATACAATCGGCGCTACGATGCGAATGATACGCCGATAAAGATTTGTCGAACGACAATGTACATAGTAAGCTATGCTAAAATACTTGATGATGATTGATATAATTTCTTTCTTCCTTTTTGGCCAGACGCATTCCAAGTCGGCGTACACAATGATATGGAAGCCGCTCTTCCGATTAGGGTTCTGAACTCGAGCCACTTGTCCTTGTCGCTCGGCAATCGGACAGCGCAGTCGTTTAGCTTTCCGCAGTCGACCGTATGCAACTGCAACTTGTCGTCCGAACCAAAATAATGTAGACATCTGTAAAGGAAAAAATTTAATTAAGATTTTACAATTCATATATAATTATACAAATAATAATTATTCAAATAATATAAAATAAACTAACCGATCGCAGATATATTTCTTGTGATCTTTTTTGCTGAGTTGCGAGCTCACTAGTCGGGATAGATTCTTGATCCACGCGAAATGTCCCACGCTGTTGTTACCATCTTCACTATAGGCAGATTCACACTGCTGTCCCGTATTCTGCTGTGAAAAGATGTATCGGGGCAATGTTGTTCTCTTTTCTCGATGCTGTACACGTTGATTGAAATGTTATTTGCATGTTCAAATTTCTTAATCTGATTATAGTCGCTGGAAACTCAATGTCCGGAGATTCAACACTGTCGCGTAATGCGGGTACGAATGATTTCGTTCCGCTGACTTTCGGCGGGATACAGAGCGGCGACCAACTGCCCACGCGAAACATGCATTGTCCTTTTGATTGCACATTAATCACCGCCTCTTCAATCATAAATCCCGCGGTAACTTGATGTGACATCCCGCGTGCATGGGAGTTGAACTTGATTAATATTTACAGTCAAGTTCAATATTCGCGACAAAGCCCACCCGCTATCGCGTTTCACTGAAATTCTTCCAGGACGCTAGGTGGGGACTCGATAACGCGCTGTTCGTACCACTCGCGTAAATTGGATGTGCGAAAGAGTTCATGGTTTCTTGTATTTACACTTTTATTTTCGCATGTTTATCTCCGGCCACAAATTCACCATTGAATATTGTGTTCACTTTTATACTGCTGTGTTTTTCTAGAGCGTCCTGCACATGTTCTATCACAATGTCTTCGGCATCCTTGAGAAATTGACGCGGTTCGATGTGATTATAATTTATCACCGCACCAGTCGATACGCGACTCTCGAACGCGGTATCGATCTCTCGCCAAACGAGTCTCTCCGCGTTATTGTCATCGCTGTATTCACCACCACTGGGAATAAATCTTCTCTGCAATCGAGTTTTTGCACCTTCGAGCTGCGCGATTTTGGCTGCCAGAGATTGCCTCTTTCCGATCGAGAGTCGCGGACGCTTAACACGACTGCGTTTTTCGAGCTCTTTGATCAATTCTTCGCAACGCTGCAGCCATGCAAAATACTCGCCCAAGGTGGTAATTTGGCGAGATCGCTCTATCAGATCGCCTTCAGTCTGCTCGATGTTTTCCATTTTATGTATTATCACACAATATATATATCACAGAAGACTAACAGAACACTATCTTTTTTCTGACAAAACACTTTCCGAGAGAACACTATTTTTTGCTACCGACGTGTCGATGCGTTTTCAAATGATGTACTATGATCTGCTGCGCTTCGATCCTTCTTATATTCGACCAACAAGCTTTCAGAGACTGTTGGGGGTTGACACGAAAGAAAATTTTCTTGCAAATGTACCTAGGATCGTAGAAAAAATGCGCTATTATATTACACAGATTGCTTGAAAAGGTTGGACTGAAATATCTCAAAAATGTAAGTTTATGAAATAAAGTCATAAAAATATGTATAAGAGTAAAAAAAAAAAAAAAGAGTATAAAAGGTTTTCTATAGTATCCCATTTACAAGAAAAAATTTTCTTTGTGTCCGCCGATAATCTCTGAAAGCTTGTCCGCTTAATCTCTATTGTTTATACGTCGAACGGGAAAAAAAACCTGGAATTATCTATTACGGGTGTACCTCGAGAGTACAAAGCAGCCGAACATCGGCGCTGATATGTAAACGAGGGAGACACCTCCGATTAGTCAATCAAAGCCAATTGTGTCCAATTGTATTGTGTCTAATCGAGTAATCCCCAGACAAAGCAGCCGATCATTAGCGCTATTAAAATTTTTCCTTAAAAAATAAAATTTTTCCTTAAAAAATAAAATAAAATACAATAAAATAAAAGAACAATAAAAAGGATTAGGTCCGCAAAATCTTTTTCAAAATATATAATAAAATACAATATATATAAAAATATATATAAAAATATAAAATATATATAAATATATATAAAATATATATAAAAATATATAATAAAATACAATAAAAATAAAATAAAAGAACAATAAAAAAGATTAGGTCCCCAAAATCTTTTTCAAAATATAATAAAATACAATAAAATAAAATAAAAGAACAATAAAAAAGATTAGGTCCCCAAAATCTTTTTCAAAATATAATAAAATATAAAATATAATAAAATATAATAAAATACAATAAAATAAAATAAAAGAACAATAAAAAGGATTAGACCCAAAAAAGGATTAGACCCAAAAAAGGATTAGGCCTAAAATCCTTTTCAAAAGAATACCGCTCTTTTGTTTATGCTTGTCATTAACGTGACCCCCCCCCAACCCCCGCGTGACGTCATACCCCCGCTCCGCTGAGATCCCCTCGCACCTCATCTCCCTCAGAGGACCTGGGTTAGAACCGGCCTACTACATCTACTACAGTGCATAAAGTTATTTGTGTTTTTAAGAAAGTCCATTTTTCGTGTAAGAGAAAATAATTTGAAAGATTATTGATATTGTGTGTGCGCAAAAACGTGACAATATACAGGATGTTTCCGGTATCTCGCAACAAGTAAAACCGTAATTTTACCAAAGTAAAATAATAAGTAGAGCTCGTTAAACTAAATTAAAAAGTCTTATATCATTTTGCAAAAACCACGTAAAATTCGAGATATTAATTAAAAAAGATCGGCCAATGCGCGTGGCTAGAAGCGCGCGGCGGCGAAAGTGATCTCACTGTAATATAATAGCAGCGCGCGGCGAAGCGGTAAGAAGGGAGCGGTGGACGGACTCTTCGAACATGATGATGGTGCGCGGTTATGGTTTTATTTTGTTACGAGATACCGGAAACACTCTGTATATACACATTATATACACATATGTCAAATAAATATTACCTGTAGCCATAGTAATTGCATCTGCATCTCGTGGCTTCACATTTTCACCATCTGTAGCTATTATTTGCATAGGATGATTTTCAATTTTTACTTCAATCAAACAAACTGTACTGCATGCATTAATCATGCGAAATCTACATTTTTTGCCTTTTTCAATCATAAACATCGGAAGTAAAACATTTGTGCTTGTTCCAGATGAAGGATCCTACAGAAATTAATTTAAATATTAATTTAAATATTAATTTAAATATAAATATATATATATAGAGTGTCAGTGAATTTTCGACCTTGACGAAGTAAAGAGGTAGATTGGTTCAAATTAAGAAGGAAGGATCTCTATTGTTTTGTGATTGTCGCAATAATTAACGAAAAATTAAATAAAGAAGATCGGCCAATCTGCGTGAGTAGAAGCGCGCGGCGACGAGAATCGTTCCACTGTAATCTGGTCTAGCGGACGGATCGCTCTCCGAGACATGATGGTAGTTTGCGATATATCGCAATACCCCGCGCCGAAAAATGACCCATCCTTTTAGTGGCACAATATTTCAACTAGTTTTTACCATTTTTGATATAAAAATGACATATTACTAAAGAAAAACGTAGTTTATACGAATCGAAAAATACTTTTAAGACGATCAGGATTATATCAACATTTATTCAATCGAATAATCAATTAATAGCAACATCTTCTTTTTAATTTACGTGGCATTTATACATAATGTATTATGTATAAAGATATAAGTTCATATTATTGCTTGCCTTTTTTGTCTGCAAAATGTAATATTTATTATTGCGTGCATACTTTTAATTTTGCGTATAATTGTAATAATAATGATCAAACCTGATGTGCTGAAATATGTATTTTTATTTATACAGGGTGTCCGTCGATTTTCGACCAAAATGAAATAAATAAGTAGATTGGCTCGAATTAAGAAGGAATGACCTGTATTGTTTTGGGATTGTCGCAATAATTAACGAAATATTAAATAAAAAAGATCGGCCAATCTGGTGTGAGTAAAAGCGCGCGGCGACGAGAGTCGTCCCACCGTAATCCGATACTACGAGCGCGGCGAAGCGGTGGGCGGATCGCTCTCCGAGACATGATGGTGGTTTGCGATATATCGCAATACCGCGCCGAAAAATGACCCGTCCCCCCTTTTCGAGGCGAGAAAATGATGCGCTATCATTTCCACACCACCTTGCGGTAGATAGCATGGTGCGCTTTTTTTTATAGTGATTTCCTCCATAGGCCTATTCCACTCTCAATTTGAAAATTATTCAAAATGCCATTACTATACGCTGAATGTATCGTAAATGTAAAAAATTGATGGTGACAGTACCTTTACAAAAATTGATCCATAGTTGAAAATCCCTCGATAAAATGTATTGCACACGTTAATAATAATACGTTGATAAAATGCTTCAAGAATTTTTTCTTCATCTCGTACACGAAGACGCACTGCCGGTTATCCCGATGTTATGCATGACATCCAATTTCACATAATTATTGCACAACACGTAAAATTGTACGGCCACTTGGTTTTCGTGCACGTCCGGGAAATGATTCCATGTAAATTGTGGCTGCACGATAAGTATTTTCTCCCGCTGGTCCGTATGTCACAATCACATCCGTATATTCCTGCAGAATATACTTCATTTTCACTGTTAATTTACTACGAACACAAGATTTTTATTAAAATGTCTTAGCTGTCGCACGCTGTTGCCAGAGTGCATACGCCAGCAGCACTACAGCTGAGCGGACATGTGAGTGTAAGCGTACGTGTGAGTTCGACGCCTGCGCACTATGATTACACTCACATGTCTGGCTCAGCTGTAGTTGCGTGCTGCTGGCGTATGCAATCTGGCAACAACGTGCGAGAGCTAAGATGTTTTAATAAAAATCTTGCGTTTGCGTATAATTTGACGTTGTGCAATAATTATGTGAAACTGGATGTCGTGCATAATATCGGGATAACCGGTCCAGCAGTGCGCCTTCGTGTACAAGATAAAGAAAGGATTCTTGAAGCATTTTTTCAACGTATCATTATTAACGTGTGCAATACATTTTATCGAGGGATTTTCAACCATGGATCAATTTTTGTAAAGGTACTGTCACCATCAATTTTTTACATTTACGATATATTTAGCGTATAGTAATGGCATTTTGAATAATTTTCAAATTGAGAGTGGAATAGGTCTATGGGGAAAACCACTATAAAAAAACGCACCATGCTATCTATCGCAAGTTGGTGTGGAAATGATAGCGCATCATTTTCTCGCCGCTAAAAGGACGGATCATTTTTCGGCACAGTATTGCGATATATCGCAAACCATCATCATGTCTCGGAGAGCGACCCGCCCACCGCTTCGCCGCACGACTAGTACCAGATTACCAGTGGGATGACTCTCGTCGCCGCGCGCTTCTACTCACGCAGATTGGCCGATCTTCTTTATTTAATTTTTCATTAATTATTGCGACAATCACAAAACAATAGAGGTCCTTCTTTTTTAATTTGAGCCAATTTACTTCGTCAAGGTCGAAAATTCACTGACACCCTGTATTTTTAAATATATTAAAAGTTGAAGTATATATATTAATGATTTAAAAACTTGTAATATTCTTTTATAATCTTTAAAATTTTTTTAATATTTATATTTATATTTATTCAAATATATAAAATATACTATATTCACTACATTTGCATTGTAAATTATCATGAACATTTAAAATATGATTTTAATCTATTTGTTACGAAGTATTGTAATAGTAACATCTAAATCAGTGCTGGGATTTACTTGCAACTTTCGACCGGATTTCTTAGCTTACACTTACTGTTCCCTTCATACCGCTCGCGCCGCTCGTAACTAAGGAGCGCTCAGGAACGTGCGCGTCACAAATGTAATGTAACAATCTTCCTGAGCGCTCCTTAGTTACGAGCGTCGGGTGGCACGATCGCTAAGGCGCGAGCAGTAAGAGGGAAACAGTAGGCGTAAGCTAAGAAATCTGATCGAAAGTTGCAAGTAAATACCAGCACTGATCTAAGTAATGTTGTTTAAAATATTTCAAAGATGCCATTTCCAGAGAAAGATAGGGATATACGAGTATGTGGGAGGAAGTCGGACGTGTTTTTATCATTTGATCAACGAGAGACAGAATCCATCCGTGGCAACGGCATTGACACATATCCTGTGGAGAGAGCATTCATACATTTTTCAGCCTAACGAATAATTGCTAGAAAACAATATTCGCAGACTAGAAAAATATATGGAGGCGCAAGAGGCTGGATCGGGAATCAAACCCAAGTCTTTCGTTTTCCGGGCAACTGCTCTAGACCACAGAGCTATCCAGATCTCACACCTAATGCTGCTGCTTCTTAATACAGTGATATGCGACTCTAGAGCAGTATTCGTACCTCACTCGATAGATGCAATGCCGATTGCCATGGAGGTAATTGCCCTGAATTTTTATAAAATTTTTGTACCAGTTGAAAAAATTTGTTTTTCATTTCTTAAAGTCTGTTTTCAACGTCCGTCGTTTTAAAATATTTTTTGTAACTCAAATTTGTGTTTTTGCTTTTTAAAAGAAATGTTCAAGTTTTAATTTGAGTTTTATTTCATTTTAATACGATGATTTTTCGTTGATTTTTTTTTGTTATTGAAAGATGTTAAAAAATTGTGCTAAAATTTACTGGTCCGTATTTTTGTGTGTGTGAATATAGATATGTGGATATGTACATCTACTAGAGGATATGGACCTCATATAGACATTTAAACATTTATTAGATATCCAGGTAACAAGATGACGTCTAAAGACGCCTATGACGTCATTAAGACGTTATTAAGACGTCTTTAGACGTCATTTTGTTATCTGGGTATCTATTGGATAAATTTTTCCGTGTAGGTTTTATTATACTTTAATTATATAATATTGTTATATACAGGGTGAGTCATTTTAATCAATACACTCGAATATCTCGAAAACAGCACTCTTCAGAAAGAAATGTTTCAAACAAAAATTGTAGGGTGTGAAGGGGGACATAAGATGGTAGCATTGGTTTGACCTTGGAAAGTCATTTGAAGGTCACATAAAAGTCACCTTCAATTTCTTAAATTGAACCCACTATTTTTCATTACATATTCTTGTAGCTTATCTCGAGAGCTTTCCAAAACACTACAGACAAATGTTTTTTCATTAAGTACTTTTTGAGTTATAAGGCTTCAAAGTTTGCAGTACTTCGATATAAAATGCAAAATATCTCGTAAAATATTTAGTTTTCGGTAGTCTTACCCTAATACTTTTGTGCACAGGATAATGAGACAAAACTATTGGTGCAAAGAAAACGTATGATTGTTTATAATAAAAAATGTGTAATTTGCAATGGACTTTTTGTTATAAACGATCATGCGTTTTCTTTGCATCAATAGTTTTGTCTCATTATCCTGTGCATAAAAGTATTAGGGTAAGATTACCGAAAACTAAATATTTTACGAGATATTTTGCATTTTATATCGAAGTACTGCAAACTTTGAAGCCTTATAACTCAAAAAGTACTTAATGAAAAAACATTTGTCTGTAGTGTTTTGGAAAGCTCTCGAGATAAGCTACAAGAATATGTAATGAAAAATAGTGGGTTCAATTTAAGAAATTGAAAGTGACTTTTGTGACCTTCAAATGACTTTCCAAGGTCAAACCAATGCTACCATCTTATGTCCCCCTTCACATCCTACAATTTTTGTTTGAAACATTTCTTTCTGAAGAGTGCTGTTTTCGAGATATTCGAGTGTATTGATTAAAATGACTCACTCTGTATAATACAATTAAAGAATAACGAATTAACTCAACCAAGTCCTTGAAAATGTCTAATTAAATCGACTTTTTGCTTTGCCGAAAAGCGACTTTAATTTTCTGAAAATAGTCGACCTTAAGTCAACTCATAGTCGATAGTTAAAGTCAACAATAAACCGTACCAGAAATAGTTAACTAAACGTCGACTTAAAAAGACGACTTTGACTAAAAAATATCGACTATCAGTCGGCAAATAGCCCTTCATGCTGTGTGAAACTCTATGGGATGGAATTAATTTATCTCATAAATTTCTTGATAACTATCGTAAAATATCGTAAAATACTATCGTAAAATATGAATTTTTCATCATAAAAATTAAAAAAAAAATAAAGTACGATTTTCTTTCGCAGAATAATGAT